AGGACCTCTCCCTCGGCTGCAAGGAACAGTGCTGCACTCTCTACTCACATGGATCCCGGGAATTAAAACCTTTTTGCAAACAATTTGAAACCATATAATATATATATTTATATCCATATATAAAATATATTTTGCAAAACAAATTTCAACGATTGAAATTGGCTGTCGGGAGTATTGATTTCCATCAGAGAGAGTGCATCCTCGATCATTACCTTTGTCCGACAATGGGGCTGATCCTGTCACTATGATCACCCACTCAGATGAATTCTCGGAATGTCCCAACATACCCAGGTTTTGACCCCCGCTAAGGATGTCACTGATTGGCATATCAAAGACAGCCCAATCCGACACCTAGTGCAATATCATAATCGAGTCTAGGGGTTAGGTGTAACTTTCCAGTTTTGCTCACTAATCACCAAGGTCCAGGGCAATATTGGAAATCTGGTCTGGTTCAGGGTTTCAAGTAAACCTACACTGCATGTACCTTGGGTCTCACCCTGGCAACTGAGACAGGTCACCCCAACACTTGGCGGCACACCAGTGTCAGCCTTAGCCGGATAAATCTCCCCAGACTTATCCAACGGCTGTGAACATTCTAAACTAACACGAGTCTCATTATGTGTCCAGTTTAAGGGTATTACACAGAAATACACCACAATAACATGAATCAAATATGTACTTTATTCATTTACAATAAATGTCATAATGTACATCAATTTGATTGGAGCTAAGGGCATACACTGTTTAACAAAAGTTATGTGGAGGCTTACATTCTAATGGCATCAGAATCTTACGATTTATGATATGATTCATGATGCCAAGGGTTTCAATTCAAATCTTATGATTTGATTGATAAATCTTACACTTTATATGATTTTTGCAATTTATTGTGGTTAAAATCATTTAGAATTAGTTCTACTTTGTCTTTTTTGTTTATATTTAGTTATGTCAAGGGACACTTGTTTTAATGCCCTTACTAGAAAATGAGTTATTTATGTTATATTAGACCATATATTGAATTTATTTTCCTTTATATATAGGTTAAAGAGACATTTTATGTGGATTGTTTGACTTTCAAGTCAAACTTGATTATTTCATCTTACGCTTTGATTTTAAGTGTTAAATTCTATTGTTTTAGGTACGTATATGGTAGATATGGATTTAAAATCACTTCTCCATATATATGTATAGCGTTTTAATGCATCTATTTTTAAGTTTTTTGACTTGGTAAGAAACAAATAATCTTATAGTTTACAATACGATTCAATTCAACTTTCTATATGATTTACTATACAATTATGATTTTTAAAACAGTCCCCAGCATGACGGCTCTAGCTTGGTCAATTATCCCTGCTGTCCTACTAGTGTTTCTTCATCATAAAAGATGATATGATTGTAATGTGCTTGATTCATTCCCCTGTAAGATTGTATTGTCTTGATATCCTTCAGAAGTGATGCAAACCGACCCCTCTCTTTCTATGCCTATCTATTTTGCAATGCAAAAAGGAAATTTGTGGACTGCCATGCTTGGTGAAAGGAACCACGGCAACATGGAGTGTGAAGATATTCAAAATTAGTTCTGTTATGAGCAGATTGAAGGAAAGGACCTTTAGGCTATTCTAAGATTTTCATTTCACAGGCAATTTCTTTGACAGGATTGTATAAAGGTTGTCCATTCAGTTATCACAGTAGACTGCTCCAGGGGACTCCAAATGGTGATGTCATAAATTGGTTTCTTATTGCTAGACCCTGATTGACTCATTATGAAGATTGCTCAGAAGATCACTCCATCTGCCTTCCTTTATTTTGATGTTTTGTCAACTTTCATGGGTTTAGGCTTGATCTTTGAGCATTTATGATGTGTTGAAAATGTGTATGTATTTTATTTTAAATTTCTTTTTCCTGGTTCAAAGGGTAAAATCTATTTCAAACTTCATCAGGGAGTTGTTGGTTCTAGTTAGAGGCCCAAGATCTTATATCCATTGGTGTTAGGGGGGAGCTGGTTGCTGCTAGTGGGGGTACTGCTAGTGCAGGATTGACTTCTTGATCTATTGCTTACACAACTGCTGCTAAGGCACTTGATCGGGCACGTGCACAATAATGGATGTAATACCTGGATATTTGATTTATTAGATGTGTAGGTTGAGAGGACCATTTTAGATACTCATCTATTCAGGGGAACTAAGATATCAGATCCATGCTGAACAACTTGTAATGCTCCTTTACATCCCTTTTTCTGTCTCTGATCTTTCCCATGTTGGATTTGTAATTTTTATTGCTTGTAGCTTGTTCTTTGTGTGTTGCTTTCTCTATTCCTCTCTAATTTGATCTCCCTGTTGTATGGGATCATGTTCCAAAGGCATTTCATTCCTTGTAGCTTGTAGCTTGTTCTTTGTGAGTTGTATGGGATCATGTTCCAAAGGCATTTCA